GACCACGAGCAATACGAAGAAAAATTTCTTATTTATTTCCTATTACTTCTTATATCATAAAGTAATTCAAAGTGGCATAATTATCTACCAAACAATTAACTTGCCAATTGCTGGATAATATGTAGGATAATTTCTGTGATATCCTTAATTATTTATAATTTCCACTAACTATCTCAAGGTGATCAGTGTTGAAATGGTTGCCAAAAATAATTTTCCATTCGAAAGAATCATTTATACTTTCAAACGATATGTCATTGCACGCGTTATTATTATTTTTTTTTAAAGAAAAAATTGTCTGCTAAGTCACAATGAAAAGAATTGTGGGAACCTATGTCTGTCGAATGTTTTTTTTTTAAAGTGTGTCAAGGGCGCCCTCTACGTATCTCTCTGCTTATTATTCTAAGTCGATCACAGATTAAGGTGAATCACGTTTTGTGACAGTCACAATGTCGCTCCTGCACGCATTTTTACCTTTTGATGATTCTCTTCGTACTCATGACTGCCGAAATCAGATATCAGGTAGATAATCTCATTCATGAAAAAAAAATTCTAAGAATGGATGATAGCTAACAAAAAACATGCAACTAATAAATTAGAGGCCGATCTCCTAATAAAATAAAACACTTTCAGGAATCACCCATACAGGGTCAGGCACCCTAGCCCCATATTTCAGGGCTTGATGCCTTAGCAGCTATGGTAGGAATGGCACGTCATTTTGATCCTGGTAAGAAGACGTGGACAGCGCCTGAGCCGGTACCCCTCTCTCATAACTTCCACGCCGCAACAAGCGCGAAGACTTACTGCTAAAACAGATTTTTAACGAGTACCTTGTTTTGTATTCACGCCGGTTGCTTAGTCAGCTCTGAGGACCGACCCATGCCTCTCCATCTGTGGAATTAGCGACGCTTTTACCGATCGCGTCACCAGAGCGCTTGAAAGAATGTGCAGTACGCAAGAAATAAGCGGTCCAACCTGAATAATTTTTGATCTAATGATCGGATTTCCACATTCCAGGACTCATTTCTTAAGGTTCAAAGGGGTGACCTCAAATATGGTAATTAATTAGTGCAGACGATATTTTAAGAACGTACTTTCTCCGAATAAACATGCCCTTTTTTTTGTTGACAAATTCTGCTTTCTGACTCCAATAGTTTCGTCAGGAGAGCGGTCCAAAGTTTGGACCCCTTAATGTTAATTTTACTTTTTGCATATTTCGCCATATCTCGAAAATTTTTTAATTAAATTAAAGCAAAATTTACATTTAATTATAAAATTCCTTCAGTCAATGATAATTCCATTAAAAAACAACTATTAGTGGGTATTCACTATTTTTTTATAAGTTAATTTTATAATAGCAAAAAAAAAAAAAAAACGGTTCGTTTTCGTGTCTGATTTCGTAACTTAAAATATCGTCTGCGCTAATTAATTAGTATATTTGAGGTCACCCCCTCGTACCATTACTGTACATTAAATATTACTTAAGGCGTCTTTCTTGTGTACTTAAAAAATCCATTTTTGTTTCCAAGATTTTGAAACTGTCATTTTGAATGCATCTGATAGTCAATCTAACACTTCCTTCAAAGGATTATAGCTTTGAAGTACTGAAGTTCAAGCACAAACCTTGAAATTGTCTTTTTCAAATGAAGTAAATATAATACCTGGCCGATACATTTAATTTTTCTGCTGCTCTTAGCGTTACCAAAATTTATTTTTCCTCAGATAAGCAGAAAAGTAAACCATATTTGGTAAAAAAGCTTTTAATTTTCAAATTAACGACAATCAACTACCGTCGCTTCCTGCATTTTGGAATGACAAGAGCTAAGTTACTAACAATTATAGACGAACAATATGCAAACTTCATGAGATAAAAATAAATATATAAAAAAGATTTAATGTGTAATAAACAGACTAGACAGTCCTAACTTAGATCTAACAATCCTAAAATCCTCAACTGTATGGTTTCTAGGTAACTAGTTTGGGTTTCTAGACAAACATCAAACGGTATTCGAATTACAATCTAACTTTGAATGTTGTTTTCCCGTCGATTATTTCCACACATGTGGTACACCACATTATTCAGATGTTCATAAATAGCATGATCTAAGCAGCGGCTCCCAACAGTTTGACTGCGGTCCATTTATACAAGAGCTAGTATTTATACTAGGTGTGAATGACCAGCGTGATAGTTGAGGTCTAATACCAGTGTTTCGGGACAAGTACTTAGGACTAGTGAATAGTAGTTAATAGAACACTAGTATGTCCTGCGTCACTAGTTATCTTAGATCCGATAGTACTAGTGAAATGTGGTGTCTTTTTTAATATCTTGATCTATGTAGGTATGTGATAAGTGGCTATTTGTCATTATTTTCAAATTGTATATTTAGTAGATTGTGAGCATTAAAGTTTTCACAGAATTGATGGTCCACACAATGAGAAAGGTTGAGAGTCCTTTATCTTTCTTAGACAAGCGGCGTCTAATATCGAACAGAGGAGCAAATATAATGCTTCCTGTTGTGTTATTTTCTCAGCATTTTATTAGTAAATCAATAATATTCACATTTAATAGCATATTAAACCTTGTGATGTTCATTTAGAGATTCACTTTTAATGGTTCTGTGTGTATCAGCTATCATGAGATTACATCCTCAACAAATTGCTTTTCTATATCACGTTACGTCTTCAACACTGTTTTCCCCTCTGTCAATCCCTAAAATCTTGCTCCTCTATTCTGTATAATTCCCGTCTAATCCTCTGTTTCTATTTTCCTTACTATATAATCTTGTTGTTCTCTATATTTCTATATAATCTTGTTTTATTCTAAAAATCTACATACAGTCTGTTCGATTCTGTATATTCCTACGCAATCTTGTCGTTCTATTCTAGGTATTCCTTAGTGTCTTGCATTTCTATTCTGCCATACTCAATTTATTCGTCTTATATGTATTTTAATCTTTTCAGTGTTGCATGTGGCAGCAAACGTATTTTTTATTCTATGCAATTATTTCAAGAGGATATTAAGGACGTGCGTGAGTTCTTGAATAAAATATTAGGTGTACCTTTGCACGATTTAAAAAAAAAAACAAGGAAAATTTTGACTTATGTTTTTAAGGAGAAAATACCAAAAAAATAATTTGTAACAATTTGTACGAAAGCAATTACAAGTTTTAAGTTTCAGCCTTTGTTCTATGAAAGGCAATAAACTTATCCAAACTAAATGGCTAACAAACTGTAACTAAACGATATACTATATCTTTATATTCATCTTGTTAACAATTTGATGTTTGCTTATTGCCTACTATGAAACCCTTTTTCAATACAGCTCGCTTCATGATTTTATTCACTTCCTGTCTTTTGTTATTGATTTCCTGAACATTTATAAATCCTAACTACTATGCATACATTAATCAGTAGCTTTATTTTTTCATCGAGTTAACCAGGAGGTGTTATCTAAGTATTCTGGGGTTTACACATTTCTTTATCAAAAGATCGGAATCTTGGATAGACAATACGATACTTAGTTCCATTGTCTTATTGTATACATCTGGGTTGGATTTGTATAAGTTCTTTTCTATGCTTCTTTTTCTCAATCTTTCTAAAATTTTAATTATTTTCTTAAAAAAAAAAAGTGTATCATTAGAGACAAAGCTTTCGTTGAAAACATTTCTTTTATTGCGGCTGCTCTATGGTTTGATGGTTGTATTACACGAAATGGTTTTACATCTCTTACCATTTCGACATTTTACTTTTTTTTATTTATTCTTTTCAAAAGTCATACATTGTTAATTTTAAAATAATGTAATAAATAAGAGCATTTTCGAAAGAAATGACATAGTTTTGATTCCTTTTTTAATTGAGATTTTGGTCTCATTTTACCCGATGTTTTATTCCCCGAACTCAATTGGTTGGAGAATAGATCTCTCCATTTATATTGAATTAAGGTTCAAAGCGAGAAGTTGTAATTTATTATACATACTTTAGAAATACCCGTTTTTAATTGTAGATCAAGACGAGAAGTTGTAATTTATTACAGATATTTAAAGTTGTTCGTCGTCAATTATAGAAACAAACGAATTAGAACTTTTCGTTCCCTAAAAAACTGCAAATAAAGATGAAAAGATTTAATTTTTCATGATGTCGAGATTTTTAAATCATTTGAACATTTTTTTATCGTCAATGTAATTGCTACTTTTTCTAAAGTTTTATACAAATTAATGTATATCATTAATATTTATGATATGGTTAATATCATTTACTATAACTGAAAATGATTATAATTAATAAAAGTTATGAATAATAATAATTATAATTAATAATAATTATAACTAATAATTATAATTAATAATAAGTATGATTAATAATAATTATAATTAATTATAATTATAACTAATAATTATAATTAATAATAAGTATGATTAATAATAATTATAATTAATGATAATTATGATTAATATTTAAGAAATATCAACATCTGTAAATGTTAACTTTTTAAAAAACTTTACTGGTATAATTTTTAAGTTTCGTTTCTGAATGCCATATTTGCTATTTTACGAATATATTTATTTCTATATTTTTTAAAAAAGTAAATAAATATTTCCTCAATAGTTGGTATAATTGATTTTTGAAATTTCTGTTTTATCAAATCGTTTAATTGGATTCTTTTTAGCGTCTTCCTTTAAAAGATTTTATATAATTTTCAAAATCATGAATTTTAAATTTTAATGGCAAATTTGTCCTTTTAAGAATAAATTTTGCGCTCTGTTTACAATAGATAAATATTTCAGCAATAGTTTGTATTCGCTTTTTAGCAGTCGCACTTCGTCTGTTTATGAAAAAAAATGTCACAATTTTCACTGTATCTCAAAAAATAACAAACCTTGTTTTTTTTTTTTTTGCACAATTGTTTCCTTAACAACGATTTGGCATAGAATAATCAGAATATTATCATTCACATATTGTTGTAAATAATATTGCGTAACTAATATTCTTTTCTTCTTTTCCAGTAATAAATGGACAAGTGGTGTTGTATGCCATCTTTAATAATGCTGGTATCAGAGGTAACATAACATTCTACCAGAAACCCGATGACACAAATGTCACCATCTCTGTTCATCTTACTTCATTTAGCTCTGAACCTAGATCGTTTGCGTGGGGAATTTATTCTTTTCCTGTATTCTTCGATTCCAAAACACCCTGTGCATCAGCGGAGCTCGGTTCCACGTAAGTTCGTGTTCCATTGTTTTTCTGTTGATGATTTCATGATTGATTTCATAACAGAGCTGTAAGAATTCTGATTCATTCCTTTATAAGGATAGAGAAATGGTTGTTAATCAATTTGTTGAATAATTCATTCGTTTAATAGAATAAAAATGATTTAAGTCATCTTTGATGTTCCTGAAAGCTTAAATTTTTTTATAGCATGAAAGTTTCGTAATCAAAGGTGTTTTATAAAAGACCAGTTCCCAAGTAGTTGAATGCGAAAATAGTTAAGAGTTATATGGGCATTGCTTTAAAAGTCTATTGGTTCTATTTGAATATCTAAAATATGGATGTATATAAAAATTATTTTATTTAGCTCTAATTGAAAAATCAATATCTTTTAATTGAAATGGAACAAAATTAAATGTTGTGATTGAAGTGAAGTGAATTAACTAGATCACTTATAAGAATAAATTCATTGCTAATACAGTCTGAGTAAAACCTTTAAGTCCAGTAAGAATATTTAAGAGCATCGAAAAATACTGTAATATTTAAATCCCTTTTATATTATTATTAGTTCATAGGGTATATTGTTAAGAAATAGCGTGACAAACAGGATTCATAAATATGTAATTATCAGAAAAAAGTGGTGTGTCCAAAATTAGTTTTCAGCCTGAGTAAAAACTTTAAGGCCATTTGCAATTTTAAAAATAAATCTACATATACAAGCTTAAATATTACGGCAATTTTGAAGATTGTACAAATACATATGTATTCAAATTCGCCATACATATCTTTAAAGTTTTGGTGCTCTCTGTAAATAAAAGAAAAGTAAGATGTTAACTGATCATAAGAGAAGGCAGCTTGAAGTTTTTTCCTTCGACAAGAATTCGTAGTCTTACTATTGCGATAAAGATAGGAAGATCAAAGACTGTGGTAATTAATTTCTTAAAGTTGGCCAAAAATTGTGGTAAAATGAATACAGAGAGAAAACCTAAAGCTTTTATGTCCTCACGTGACAAAAGAAGACTTTGCAGGCTTGCATCAACGGGAAAATACTCAATTAGAAAATTTATTTGAATGACGCGTTTTTGTTTTGATGCGTTGACAAATGTTTGTCAAAAAACCATGCATAACATAATTAGAAGGACTGGAAGATAGACTTATACAGCAAAATTTACTAAACCCCTGTTGCTGCAGACTGAATAAATGATGAAATGCAGAAGATCTTTCAGAAAAAAAATTGGATATATTTACCAAATCAACGCAAAAAAAATACGTTTCAAGCAAACAAATATTGAAACTTAAAATGGCCAGCTAAGTCTTTAGATCTCAACCCAATAAAGATCTTATGAGGAGATTTAGTACGAAGATTTTATGCAAATGGAAGGTATTTTACATCACCAATAGAGTTGAAATCTGCTATCGTAGACGAATGGTATGAAACAGATTTCGAACTTTGTCAAAAACTATTTTCATTCATGAAAACTAGAATATTTGAAATAATTCGGGTAAAAGGCTCCTTACACAAGCTTCTTTTGCATATTTTTGTATACTATTTTTTTATGTTGGCCTTAAAGTTTTTATTCAGGTTTAAATGCTTATTTTATACATACCACTTTTTTCTGAACTGACAGGCACTGAACTTCTCGCTGTTTTCCTCGACTGAGGAAGGAACTGTAGCTCATTTAATAGTGTCCGTTGGGCATTTGTGAATTTAGCAACATTACTCCACTGCCACAGATACTCGTTGAAAGGGTGGGTCGTATTCACACATCACCACAACACATAGAGGGAAACATCCATGCCATGAGCGGGATTCGAACCCGCAATCATTGACTTCGCAGTCAGTCGCGTTAACCGCTCGGCCATCTGGCCAATTTTTTTACTTTTATAAAATTACAAATCCGTTTTGTTATGTTTTTTCTTAACAAAATGTTGTTAAAGAATTAATAATACAATAATATTTAAGTCTCTATTTTTGTTTTAATTTTCTCAAATTTTTCCCTACGGGCTTTATTTAGATTGTGCAATTACTTTATATAGTAATTCATAGTAGTAATTTAGAGAGATTTATAATTACTAGCTTACCAAGGATGAAATTTGTAGGGAAAAAAGGCAAAGTTTGTCGATAACTTATCTCCATAAGTAATTTTTTTATTCATTAACGAATGCACCCATTATCTGTACCCACTAAACGACATGTTTTACAGACACGTGGTATAAAAATTAAAACCATGGTGGGCGAAAGTCAAAACAATTCTTGGAAAACCAGTGTTATAGTATTGTCGGAATTAAAATGTTTTCCTGTTGAAAATTGTCCACCATGGTAGTTAGAGGGGACCAGGTGTGATGTATATGGATGATGGTGAAGAAGTTGTCCTACTGCTGACCAATTTAGACCATTTTTCTTCCATGTTTATTTCTGCTCAGATGATCTATTGTAGGTCAGTCTCAACTGTCACTTTTAGTTCATCATTACTGACCTTTGATTCAAGGTGACCATTTGGCTCAATTATAAGGTCAAAATTACCTTTACGAAAATCTGTAAACAAATTTGATACTATTATTTGTGTCGAAAAAATTATTGTGTAAAATGCGATATTAATGCTTCTCCCGGGCTGTAAAGCCAAGTTCTATAATTAGGCTTCATAATAGTGTGATTTTCTGACCACCATTCCATCTTCAGCAAAATTATTCTTTTAAGAAATTTTTTTTTTAGAGTTTAAAGTAAAATGTATTCATAAATCGGCAAAAAATGTAATTTTAAAAAAAGTAGTCCGATGAAATATTAAGCGAATGTTTAATAATTAGCAATATTAACTGCTGGTTTTATTTATGACTAGGTAGTTAAAAATTATTCAATGTTTGTCAACAACTATTTTCTGTAATCAATAGCTTATTCTTTATAGATAAAATGTTTTTTAAAGCACCTTTAAATATAAATTTTTAAAAAAATATTATTTCATTTTTTTAAATAATTGTTTATTTTTAATTTTTAATTAATTTTTTAAATAATTATTTACTTAACCTTGCTCATAGTTAAACGTTTCTGGTACGTTTTTTAAAACACATTTTTTCCTACGAAAATTTTTTACTCGTTTTCTTTCCAAAGTTATGGCTGAAACATCTAGATAAAAATGTGAATAATTTCGCAACCAAAAATCTATGAATAATTTCATTCCTCGTGAGCGACAAGCAGGAAAAAAAGCCCAATTAGATACTCGTGTTGTGAATGTTAAAAGAAAGTAACGCTCTACATTTTTACTCTAATTAAAATTGGAAGTTAAGGATAAAACCCACACTGCCTCCGTTGTTTCTTCTTCTACAAGTCTGGAAACCTGTTTCACTAAATCGAAATTTCAACAAACAAAGTAAAAGAAATTGTGTTTATTTTGATAACCTGCTCTCATTTCAATGAAATTTTTAGTATGTAATGTAGTGAAATTAAAACGTATTTTATTTTATGATTTTGATGTACAGTAAGCGGTAAAAAAACAAAAATAAAAAGGACTACTCTGAATAACTTTTGATCTATTGAATGGGTTTTCACGTTCTAGGACTCAATCGTAGTGATCAAGGGGGTGACCGCAAAAGTTGCTAAATAACTAGTGCAGACACTATTTTAAGTTATGAAATCCAACACAAAAACGTATTTTCGCGAGGGCCAGATAGCCTGGTTGGTAGGGCATTGTGCCCATGTCTAAGAGGGCATGAGTTCGATACCCACCGGCCGAAGATTCTCCGAGTAGTAAATGGTGACTGAAGCACGTTAAGTCTGTCTGGTCACAAAGTCCTCCATGTTCCCATAACAAATCAATACCTTTGGGGTGCTGAATTGGAGATGGATCGTTTTCTGGTTCAGGTCAAAATTACGATCTGTGGATGAATGAATGTATGAATGGGTGCGCTGTAAAGACGGGTTGTGTCGTGTATGTGGCTGAAGTCGTATTCTTAGCCACAGATGGCGCTACTGAAAAATAAGAAGCACACTGTCTGTCTTAAAATCGCTTGGTTTCACCAGGTAGGCTTGCTGATATTTGGCAAATGACATTAGAAACAACAACATATTTTCTCTGAATAATCATATCGTTTTTTCGACGTTTTCCGACGGATTCGGATTTCCGAACCCCAAAATATAGGGGGTAGCCGCGAATTTTAAAACAAGTCATGAATTAAAAATTTGATTTCTCAGGAACTATTTGATAGATCTTGCTTACATTTGTATTTTGCGAGGTAAAATTACATTCTTTAAAATTATGAAAAAAATTGCATACCTTAAAATTCAAAATTTTTTCGACTATCATCAAAGAAAATATTATAAAATAATAACTATTTACTAAAAGTTATTTTTTGCTAGGAATTTTCTTTGGGTAAATGAATTTAATAATTGGACACAAAATTGTTTCAGTTCGCTTAAGTAGTCCCCTAGATAGGACGAAATGCGCACAAAGTAAAATTAACATTAAGGGGTAGCTTACTTCGGACCACTCTCTTTTTCCCAGATTGCGGCTACCCCCTATACTTTGGGAATCAGAAGTCCGAATCTGTCTGGAATAAAAAAAGGTATGTTTATTCAGAGAAAGTGTTTTTGTGTCTGATTTCGTAACTTAAAATATCGTCTTCATTAATTAATTAGCATATTCAAAGTCACCCCCTTGAACCATTAAAATTGAATCTTAGAACGTGAATATCATTATATCAAAACTTATTCAGTCCGTTTCTTTCTTTCGCGCATTGTACAATCCATGTTAAAAATTCATTTCTTAAATACAGTTCACATTCTAGTGAATGCGTAAAAATTTTACTTGAGTAATTTGTGGTTTAAATATTGAATTTTCAAGTAATTTTTGACCTAGTGATTGAGTTTTCAATCAACTTTTCATTTTAACTGCAATTAAATGATTAAATTTTCGAGTAACTTTTGACTCCATCATTGGTTTTCGAGTAATTTTTATCCTAATGATTGAATTTCTTATTTGAAGAATGTGATTTTCAAGTAACTTTTGACCTAATGATTA